GTGTACATATTAAGTTTTATGTTCTTAGTCTAGTATTATTCTATGATTCACAAAAATGATAAACCCCGTTCTTTACAGCACATTAAACAAAAAAACAAGCTATAGTTCTATAACAATCTAAATTACAATTCTACTGCCGATGTTAAGCAACCAATCACATTTCGGTACACAATTAGTAGTTTACGTGCTAATATTATTCCGTTTTTGAATGAATGAATAAATGAAAACGTCTTTATTAAGCTAGCGCCATTCAAATTACAGTGGCATAAAATACATCTTTCAATCCCCTTTAAAACCTAGAGAGGTTTGCTGATTTGAGGTAAGTTGGAAGGGCATTGTAGGCTTGGGGCCCAAAGTAAGAAATGGCTTTCCTCCCGAATTCCGTTCTGACCCGTGGCAAGTGTAGCAAGCCTTCCTGCCGAGTGAGGCGAACGCTAACCTCAGACCTGAAAACCAGTTTTTTTCTGATGTACAATTAGGACAGGTTGAAGGTCACATTGTTTAACTGCCATGGTGTTTGCCCTTGACATATACCTTGACCTATACTCACTGATATGATTTTTGATTACAAAGCAGAAAAACCACAAGAAAAGCTATTTAAAAATTATATAAGTAAAGTTATTTATATAGGAAAATAAGAAAAGTGACGGTATAAAAATGTTGGGAATCACGGCTGTAAATATGAAACTAGTAAGTTTCTTTATAACCATAAATTTTTACTCGTAATCACATGTTGACTTTAAAATAGCAAAGACAAATTTTGGGTATCGACTAAGCGGTGGTAACTATTTCGATTAAAATATATTTCATTTACCAAAAGCTTACTTAAAGTAATTATCAGATTTATGGTGTAAACGCTGTCAAACTACGCTATATTCCAAAGTCAGTACCGTATTTCAATATCGGATGCTGGAACAACAGTCATCTGGTTCTGACTAATGAAACAGCGATTGCGATATTGCATAAATAATTACTTTAGGAAGCGAGGCGTTGTTATTAAGACATCTTCTCGGGTGATCGTGGCTATCTTCGAACTATTATGCTTGTTTTTTTTTTTAATCACTATATCTAAGACAGTACTTTTAATAACGTACTTTATTAACATCAAAATATAAGACCATGTTTGTAGGTTGAAAAGAAGAGTTTGTTTCTGTTTGTATGTTCAGGGTGAATTGATTAAATGCTTTATTGATTTATTAAAAAATAATAATGGATGGAAAGTTTTACGAAGTTTTTAAAGGTAAAAACAGTTTTAACCATACAAAGTACAGTTTTAACAGGTAGGTCAGTTTTTAAGTTATAAATGAACCACAATGTTGAAAAAACTGTCCAAAACGTTAAATTGCCTCTGTAATGGTAAAAGGAATGTGATCGTTAAATTAAATCAGTGGTTGTAAATTGCTGGAAACTGGAACGTAAGAAATAAACTTAGCATATATATATTTTTTTTAATATGGTTTAAACACAAAACATTACTTATTTTCAATCTAAACAGTTTTATATAAATTAATCATCTTAAAACAGTATGGTGAAACAAATTATTGCAGTTTCCAACAAAATCTGATTATAAATGTAGAACGCAACTATCAGTTGTGATTACATTTGGCTCTGTCCGAAAAATTCCAAAGGCACACAAAGATTCGGTTCATTAGGAAAGGCAAAATAAGGTTATCCCATCCAAGAGCTCTTTTCCTCCATTTACTTTGTACATTGTCTATGATTGGTTCTAACTTTTTCTACTCTGAGGGATTCTTGCATCCTGAATAAATTTAAACAACGAAAAAAGTAGTTAAAATTAGTTAGGTAATGCGTAAGTATAATGTGTAATGAAAAGATTTAACTGTTCCAATATAACCTTTAACAAACCATGTTTAACTACAAAACTTCAATCTAGAACAAATAAAATATTGAAGAAGCCTTAACAATGGCAAAATCAAGATTCATAATAGTACGTCTTAAAACATGCATTTACATTATAAGCAGGTGTAGAATAGTTCAAACTTATTGAATATACGCAAATGTGTTGTTAAGCAATTACCAAACTTGAAGGTATAGTAAAGCTTTGTATTAAATATTCATGATCAGGCGTGGAGGTTGTCAAAGCGCTTTTATTTATTGCTATTAATATATACAAACACATACTCTATCAAACGAGTTGTTTTTATTTTGTGTATCTCGCCATGCTAATGAAATATCCTCAATTATCACGATTTATGCCTTTTTGCAAAATCATTATCTTGGTGTAATTTTGGGAAATGGCCTGATGAATATAGGAGTACTTATATTAAGAACCGGTTTTATTCGAGACAGTTTTTCTCTACAGTGTTATCTTTACTGCACTTTCTTGAACTCGTTGATTATAACCACATAACTAAATGGGTGGGTTTTAGTGTATATCGCTTTTCCTACAACACTCAAGAGGAGATGTCTTGTCATATTTATAAATAGCTTATAAGAGAATTATTACTATCATGTCAGACAGTCCATTTGTTACATCGGAATGTAAAGATATTTTAAAAATCATTCAGTTTTAGGATGGAAGTTGTAAAACAATGTTTGAACCTTTTTGCTGATATTAAATCATCTTAAATACACGTTTCAAATATAGTATATTATTATTTGCAATACCAAGTTTCATCAAACTTTCACGTTTGCACCGACTCTGTTTGCTGGCTTTATATATTGCATAACATTGCATTGGAAAAAGATGTATGACGATTTTTTTTATATCGCTACTAACTATGTCAACATTTATTACGTTACCTTACTTCTTTTAATTTGCAAAATGTATCAATCGCAGGTGTAATATTATCTAAAGGTATATTTACTGGCACAATACATTTTTGTATGCTTGTAAAAACATGAATTGATGGTAAAAAAACTAAAAAAATTTCAGAATTTCAAGAAGAATAAGAAGCAAATGTTGTAAATGGACGGTTTTTATAGATTTCATACGGTATTTTTTAAATAACTATATGGCTGTAAATAAAAATTTAAGGCTAACATTTGTATATAACTTTTGTCACATAAATGTTCAGGATACAAAAACTTATCAAAAAAAAGGCTGAACAGAACGATTTTACATATCTGTGACTAGTTCCAATATCAATAACGAGTATTTCATTGATTGGTCTTTCTGGAAAATCCCGTCCCGGAACATCACCCTTTCATTTTTCTTTAAAAAACAATGGTTTCTTTCAATTCTTAATGTTTTAAACTTTGATTTGAAGTTTCCTTATTCTTTATCATTTAATTAGATTTAATTTACAATCCTCTACGAGAACAAAAAATATATTTTGTTTTTACTGTTACTTAAATTAATATAACAATGTACGATACAGTAACAATGTGTTTAAGCTTTTTCCAATAAACATTGTCTAGCATTTTATGGGATGGTTAAATTTGTAATAGGTTTAATAGGATGAAAATGGTAATACTTTTTACTTGTCAAATATTTAGATGAGGAAATGATCATCTATAATTCAAAATATAAAATATACTAAAATTTGGTAATCATTTGGATATTTAAATTGGGGTTACAAATATGTTTAGATGTACGGGTAAAATTCTTATTACTTTACCTACTAAAACTCTTTAGAACCATTCCTTACCACCAGATGATACACGATGCCCAATTATTCGCTTTTCATTTTTATTTAAACAAATATTTTACGTACATATAATTAAATATCACTTACATACAGTTATGTGGTCAGTTTGATTATACATAGCATAAAAACAAAACAGTAAAAAAATATTTGAAAAAAAAATATTCATACAGATATTTTTCACGTTCATTTATTAAACTATTTGTTACCGTATTTGGATGCTATTTATACACTCGCAATGTCTAAATCAATTAGTATTGCAAAATTATAAAGTTTTATTGTTGTGGACGAAATTAAGCCACTTTAACGTGACTTATTCATAACGGATAAAGTTAATTAAAATGTAGAATGTACATTATACATTTTTAGATTGGTGCACAACTTTAATTAATATAAAACCATCAAACAAAACAAAATGGCGTGGGTATTGTGGCATCACAGTTTGTATGCAATCTGATGCCATCATAAAGGTTTCATTATACACGAGTTTGAGGATGTCTGTCCCAGATAAACACCTTTTATGTGTAGAAAGAACTTGATAAATCGCGTTGTTTAGAGGGGGGGGGGAGGGGGGGGCTGCTGGGAAGCGCATGCGAGGTAGCCCCAGCCAGAAATCGTTATACACCAGGCTTCAGCCTTACTCGGCGACAAAGCGTTGGCAAATTGCCGAATTAGACTGAAAAGTACCGTTCTTATTGTTCTCTTTAAATTCAACTATTTATTCAGCCCGTGGTTTCCCTTACCAATTAAAACGTTTATGCCCAAATCAACATTGAAATGAACATGAAAATGGGTCAATATTAAAAACCCACGTAGAATAATTTTGGAAAATATATGTTAGGAAATCTTTCACTTAAAAATAACACGTTTATAAGATGATTTATAAGTATATTTAAATCGAAAGTTGGAGTAAACATTTTTATTTCTTTATTACTGGCAAACCATTTTTACGTTAATGTACTTTTACACAGTCTACGATTACTCTGGTTTAGCATTAAACAACCACGTAACATAGTGAAATATATGATACTTTTAGAATGTGCATTTATTGTTTATGAATGTGTAACGGTTTTGTGGTTGAGTAGCAAAATAAGAACCTGTTATCTTCCAATTAGTAAAAAAGATTAACATATAACCCTCTAATACCTTCTTTAGGTGACAAGAACTATTAACACAACAATTTATACTTCATCGAATCTCTTTTATATTCTTGTCTTAAACGTTTTACGTTCTAAGAAATTAATCACATGTTTTAATATTAATACAACCTATAGTAAAAATATAATATTCATCAGGAGAAAAATACTTAGTGAAAAAGCAGATTTGTTACATCAGTATAAAGGCATTTATAATTCAACAGAATCCACACAAAGGTTATAAAGGTAAGCAAAATTGATAGTAAAATCTCTTTATTTATAAGTCAAACTTAATTGTAAACAATAATCAAAAATGTCAACATCTTCAAAAATATAGAACATCAACTTATACATTTATTACATAAATCGTTTAGTTAGGAAACATTAAGCCATTTTCATTAAATGTACAAATTTCGAATTAGTCCAGAAATAGTGGCAACAAATATGGGGTAAAACAAAAAACTGATTCATGGCATGAAATAAGTAGTTTGTTATTTTGGCAAACTGCACTAACCATAATATTATAACGTAGGATATCAAGCACTGTCAGAAATTGACTGATCTTTAATACGAGTATATACATACCAACGAACGTAAATAATAAGTATTTACTAAGCCCCAAATAATTTAAAAATGTTACTAAACGGTTGTTTCATTTTGGACCTTTCAAAATTTGAAAATGTATGATTGCTGGGCTGGTTTAGATCTTTTTTATGCCTGATTCGTTTATAAATTGTAATTTGTAATTAAATACGTGAGGTATTTCAAGAATACCACTTGATAATAATTATTGAATAATAGTTAGTGATTTTAAACGATAGTTCAATCATAAACCCTTACTGAAATTTCATCTTCTTTAGGGCTTCTACTTTTATTGGTTCAACGATTTTATTACATTGCAGATCTAATAAGATAAAAGGTCGAGGGGAACATTAAGACTATCGAAACAATTGCAGATGTTGTACACCACAAATATAACAGGTGATAGTATGATTCAGTTAAACAACAAATATAGATAAACTGAATAAAACAATTGTTTAAAATATCATAGTAAATAACAATAACTATTCAATATTTACTTAAATCATATCGTTTATGTACAGGATGGACATTTATATTCATATTGGAAAATACTATAGTTTATACGTCCTCAGGCCTTATCACTCACTGCCTGCGAAATATCCTTCACTTTCGAAGCTAATTTACATCACATTGTGACAAACACTATAATATTTCAATTACTTATAGGTAATATAAACATCGTATTTTATACGTTATATAAATTTGCCTTTAACAGAACGTCTGTACAAAGTGTGGTACAGTTTTATAAATTTAAGCCACCTTGAATCTTTCTTAATACTTTTTATGCAAATCATAACTCGTTTATTTAGTTTTCTTTAGGTTGTTTCAATTGTTCCATTTACTGTACTTATTTTTTTTTTAGAACGTATATTCAACTTGAATTTCAATTTTGCAACCAAAACAAAAAAAAAATTTTCCAAACTGACTAAACACTATCATTGTTGTCATATAGCCAAAGGTTTAAATATTTCCAAAATAAAATCCACAAAACAACAAATGAAAAATAAAAGATGTAAAACATAGAACAACTTTAACAAAGGAATTTTATTTATATTAACCTTATTTACACTTTTTTGTAAGAATTTAATACGTTAATTCATAAATGACACTTTTGATTGTATCGAACTTATACCTGAATTTTTTTCAACGTTAAGTCTTATTAATATAATTTTGTATTGTGTTCATTGTACTTAAAATGTTTTGTGTGATAAAACTATACTTAGTATATTGATAAGGTTTGGTAAACTATATTAAATATGAAAATATTGGGGTAGCTGCTGTATTCAATATTGGATTAAAAAAACTGTACCACACAGCATTGTTTAATGCTACAACCTAACCTTAAGTAGAAAATAAGTTCTATCGAATAATCTATTATTATCATCACAATTGAAATTTTTCTGGAAAATTTATAATTTATTATAAACTCTTAACAATATATTTACAGTGTTATGTATATAACAACCTACATGAATAAGCGAAATCTCACAACTTAAAGTAATTGGCGAATGCCAACCTCAAACAAAACAGTTTACAATTTGATTAATTAGTTATTTCATAAAAATTCCCCTCCATTTGCTCCTCGACATAAAAGTTTGGTACGTACAATGAATATTATAAACATGGAGGGCAGTAGTGAAAACATAGGTGTCCCGTAACTACATTTAATAAAATTACTCTAACTATGATCTAACGAATCCAGGGAGGATATAAAATAGGAAATCCTAATACAAAAAAAAAATCATATTTTGTCATAGAACTCTCATTTTTTCACTACTGTCACTCACGCCCAGCTGACACTGGCGAGCTAGTAGGGGGATGAGCAATGATTCACACTGACGCTATGTACAATCAGCCTTACAACGTAACATTGCAAAATCGTAAAAAAGTTTTTACACGCAAATTCTGTGAGGGTGTGCTCAGTCGACTGCTGCTGTGTTACATTGCAAGGCGAGATGGCGGGTGAGGGAGAGTGGCCGAGGTACTCATGTCAGACGGACGAGGACGTGGCCAACGGCCATCATAGAGGCCACGGCCAGGAAGAGGCTGCGCCGCTGTAGGTGGCTGCATAGGCCGAGGCCAGCAGACAGAGGGTACCAGTAGACCCCGGGGAGAGGAGAGGCAGAGTTCTTCCCGCGCTGCATGGCTGCGGGATGCTCGTCTGCGGGCAGATGAGGAATCAGTACATAAACTGTTGTGAGTTCATTCATTTTGTGTAAGAGAATGTTAGTTTGTTCTAAAATTATATATTTGGAAGAATGTTTGTATGGAAATTTTGGGTTGGACAATGGATAAATGTATATTGAAAGGACAAATATTAAAATTGTACTTTCAACTATGGGTCGTGGACTATGGACACGACAATCTATTCCTGTCTTAAAACTGTTGTAAGTTTAAGAATTAAGATAAAAATGTTTGAATTGATCCTCCGACGGAATACGCTAATGTTAATTTTTGGATTTGACGTTTTGAGTACAATTAAAATTAAGTGAGTATTTCATAGGTAAAGCAGGTAAAATACATTTTAAGTTGTTATCCTACATGTATGATAACATTGGCATTATTTACAATTAATTTCGGGAAAGTACACAATGTGTAAAATAAAGAAATTTAGAAAATAAATGTATGCATTGAAATTCCGTTTTCACCTAAATAAACAGCTTAAAATGCAGATCAGTTTCTGGAATCCAATCTAAAAAAATAGAATTTACGAACTAGTTAGTATGCGAAACTATTACTAATCGTAAAAGTGGCCAATAGAGAAAATTTAGAAATTTCTATATGTGGACAAATATTGATTCCAGTTTGCCATACTTGTTTTGTTGTCATTAATTATTCTTCTACAAGCCAAACAAAAAGAGAAAAGATTTTACATGACCGTTGGTATACCATTGCATAGAGCATGGTTACTTTACCCAAATATAGCATGAAATTATATTATTATTATATGAATTATCAAATATAATAAATAAAAGACGTTGTTTTTCACATAGTCCAATAATTGGACAATCGTAGGGGGTTTCCATACAGTGTGTCTCCAATTAGTACAATTTCACACTTACGTTCATAGTGTCACTCTTCAATGGACATCTACCGGAGTGTATTGTGTCAGAAAAATTCAAAAGTCTAGTTTTACGTATAATTGTTTCCTTTTTTTTCAAGGTGTCGGCCAGATGTTGGTTTCACAATATCTATCCATTTAAACAGAGTTGGCAACAATTATAAGTAAAAATAAACTATTCAATGTGGCTGATACAGCCAAAACAAGTAGAAATTAACGGTAGTCTATGGTTAATATCTGAAATTTTACTAATAATATTTTATGGACACTCTCGATAACAGGTTACAGCATATAGATTTTTTATTCGTTTGCATGTTAAATAATGCCATATCTGCAAAATTAAGACGTTTTTGTTAGTAAATTATGACACTGTTTTACAATTTATGAAAATATGAAGTTAAAGCTTACATTGAGCCGGTGATGTGGAGCCTACGGCAACGCACATTCACCTGCAATAAATAAAACTGAGTTACGAGCAACGGGGGACGTACACGGGCTTGCATTTTTTCATTTGAACATTTCAGTTAATTTTGGAGCATTTACACTGTTACGAAAAGTAGACCTAAGTATAGAATACAATTTTTTATAAATGGTTCTGTTATTAAAAAAGCTGAAAATTATTTTCTAATAGTTGCATTAAATCTTTCTGAAATTAATCCAGGTTATCCAGGCCGTTTTATCTTCAGTTGATTTCACCGCTATTTTTAATTAGGTTAAAATCGCACTATATAAAGTGAAGCTTGCTCGGGTGATAACCCTAAATACTAGTTTTTTACAATAAAAATAAATCATTATGGCTGCATTTACGTATGTTCATATCACTGACTCAATACACTATAACCTCTATGGACTTATTTTACATCCTAGATATATAATTTAATTTATTAACAGACAATTCAGTTGCTAGCTCATTAAATAATAACATAAGTCAATTATTTTGAGGGTTGAGGATTTGATTACATATAATTCATAGACATAACCGATCAAACTTTACATAGGGGAAGTTTTAATTTTAAAATTGATAGGGTGTTCTACTAAATCTATCTACAATCGTATAATTTAGAGCTATATGTTTGATCCATTATAATTGGTCTTTAAGCTTTTATCGTTTACAACTAGAAAATTTTTTATTCCAATTGGTAGCGTATTTATTTTTTATAATAATAGGCTCTTTTAAAGACTTTAAACATTGAGTTTGTTTAACAAAAAAAATGTCAAAGTTAAAAAATGGTATAGACACAAACTTCTCCTCCTATATTATACCGTTATCCTATTCACACGTGATAACGATACATTTATTTTACTTAATAATATTGGATATCAGAAATTCTTTCAATATGTTGTAAAATTATCCATTGTCAGACACATTTTAATAAATTATATTAAAAATAGCTTTCCCAACAATTTCCAACCGTAAATCCACAATCTCCATTACACAGCACCACATACATACATACGCTACCTTTTAAAATTTTCCCTCGAAAAGCGTTACTTTACCCACCGTTTAGCACATGAAGCTGTACGCTGGCGGAGTCCAGGTTGGAGGGACTGCATGTGTAGTTGCCGGTGTCCTCTCTACGAGCCTCATAGATGATAAGAGACCCGACCGTCGTATCTGCAGACACCCTTTCTGACAGAATGTCCTTCTGCTTGCGGTCGTAGTCCAGCACACGCTTGCCGTTGTGATACCAGAAGATGTAGGCCGGCTCCTCAAGACTCTGTGTTATGACGCATTTGATCTGGACGATGCTGCCAGCCTTGACGTAGATGTCGTTCTCGCCAAGAATCTCAATTTTAGGAACTGAAAGTGAAGTGCAGTTAGTTATAATTAAACCTGCTACCTATACATGTAAATCTACATCCGTTTAACCGATCGCTAGTATGCTGCGTGATTGGTTAGAAACTAAAATACGAAGCCGGCATCGAGAATGGTATCTTGATTTCGTAAGATTTCCAGATGTAAAATAAAGATATCAGAAACACTTTTTAAAATTGGCTGTAATTCGGACTATAGGTGTCGTGGTCTTGGTCTATGATACTTGAGTGAAGTGTTTAATTTCAAACACATACATAATCATTTCACTGGCTACTTAAAAAAATAATGTTTATTCTTTCATCGTCGCAGTGTCGTCTGATTTTCGCTGAAGACTGAATGATCGTAATACATTGAAATTGCTTATTATTAGAAAGGTGTAGAGTGGCATATGACAAAATTTCATTAACAACATTATTAAGAAGTCTAAAAAGAGTATAAAACATTTAAACAATTAGTATTGAAAAGCTATCTAATGTGTTTGGTAAATGTTTTATGACTTAGGCCTACTGTGAAACACGTAAAATGTGAGTTGTTATATATTTTCTATTTGCATTCCTCAACAATCATATGTTATTTTAAATATTTATTATTCCTGATGTTTTTACTATTGTGATTATCAAAACATTGTTCTCAATACAAGACTCATTTACAACACCATCTTGAAATAATTTATTCCATACTAATTATCTAATATTACTTCAAGTATTTTAAAGTGGCGACGAGGAAAACGGCAAGATGGACCAGGAACAGTTTCAATTATTTCTACAAACACTAACAACAGCTCTTCAAGGTATGTTTGATTCACAACCATCAAAGAATTTAACACTGATTTCAAATTTTGACCAGTTTGACTGTACACAAGAAACGTTTTCTCAATACAAAGAGAGATTTGAAAACTACTTAAAGTTGAAAAACGTTTTCTCAGACAAAGATCTCTGTGCCCAGATATTTATTAACAGTCTAGGCTCTTCTGGCTACGACTTGTTGTCTACATTATCGTTGCCAAGAAAGGTAAATGAGCTGAAGTACGAAGAGCTTACTGCCTTAATGACAAATCACTTTCCTGCTCAAAACGAAATTGTCGAACAACACAAATTCTTTTCTCGGGTACAAAAGTCTGATGAGTCTATTTACAGTTATGTCATGTCCCTCAAAAAGCAAATTTCGACTTGTAATGTGGCCTGTTCTACTTGCAACGCTTCTGTTTCTGACCTATTCCTCAGGGCACAATTCATACGAGGAATTAGGGATTCTTCCATAAAGGAGAACCTTCTTCAACAGAAGGATCTAACTTTTGACTCTGCTCTAACACGAGCTTTAGCGATTGAAGCTTCAAAGCTGAATTCCAATGCCATAGACAAGTTTTCGCAGCAGTCACAACCGTCTTACAGCAACGTAGGCGTCAACAAGTTGGCAGGACATTCGAAAAGGCACCGATCGTCAGCTAGATTCAACCATCGTTCGTCAGGCGAGAGCAGCAGTCGTTCTTCCGACAGCAGTTGCAACAGCTCAATTTCTTCTGCTACACTGCAAGGACATTATCGGCGCAAAGAACAAGTTGATTTAATTGCTCTTGGCTTGAATGGCGTTTGTCTGCGGTGTGGCAAGAACAATCATACGTCACATCAATGCAGACTGCACAGATCTCGAGTCCGCTGTAATGCCTATTACAAAAAGGGCCACATTTCGAAGGTATGTATCAAGTCCCTACTATCTAAACAAAGTGGTTCAAAATCAATCAAAAACTTAATTCTAGATAATGATATCCAGTCCGTGGAGTCAGATGTTGATGATATATATGGCGTAGGTCAAGTTGGAAACATTCATGACATACACCTGTCAGACACTGATAAGTTTATAACGACCGTTCTTATTAATCACCGCCCTCAAAAATTCGAGGTTGCTTCAGGTTGCGCCCACACTCTACTTCCTAGAGGAGACTTAAAGCGTTTAAACATTTCAATGGACACTTTAACCCCAACATCTGTCAAATTTCGCTCTTACACAGGGGAGCTACTTTCTCCGCTGGGCATTGCTTCAGTACGCGTGAAAAGCAATGGGACATCAACCGTCGAACAGTTATTTGTTGTTCCTGACGGATACAGTCCTCTTTTGGGTCGAACATGGATACGACACTTGCAAATCAACCTAAGTAAGAAGAAATCAGAAAAGGATCGAAATCATCCACAGAAGACACATGTGTCAGAAAAAACTAGCTGGAAAAAGTCTTCAACCAAAAAGAAAGAATTTAGTGAAAACATTGAAAATGCAGACTTGACATTTTTTCCTCCGTTCAACACTACCAGTTATTCGCCTACCAGTCATTCATCCACCAGTCAGGCATCAACCAGTCATCAACCAGACACAAGTACATCTGTATATTATCGACCAACACCTTCACGACGACATACATCAAGAAAGATCAAACGACCGACACGATACACGCCTTGAACACTTCCTCAGTGCGGAAGAATCTGTTATATATTTTCTATTTGCATTCCTCAACAATCATATGTTATTTTAAATGTTTATTATTCCTGATGTTTTTACTATTGTGATTATCAAAACATTGTTCTCAATACAAGACTCATTTACAACACCATCTTGAAATAATTTATTCCATACTAATTATCTAATATTACTTCAAGTATTTTAAATGAGTGGTATGTTAATTTTTTATATTTTTCAATATAGCCTATATTAATGTTTGGCGTCATCAAATATACGAGTAATTGTATTAACATACAAAAATAAAATAATTCAAGATACGAAACTTTTCCTAAACAATGTCAATTAAATATTCACAAATATTAGGTAATCATATTAACGTTAAGTAAACAGCCGTTAAGACTTGTGTTTTCCAAACTCTCATTAGCAGATATGGGAAGTCAGCCAGACATAACTGACAGGATGTTATCAAGCCCAACTGCCGTTTCTCAGAAAACTTTGATATGCGTCAGTTGTAGTCGGAGATGAATCCAAAAAGTAATAAAAGTTCCTAAACGGTTCCTCCAAACATTGCTTACACAAACAGACTGCGGACGAGATCCCTTCATATGTTCGGTTCGCACACATTCTTTGGGACATTTATCAACGGAAATCCAATCAAACTTGGACTAATAGCTGTAAAATGGGTCTTGCTGTTATTTGTTCGTTCTCTTAATAACATTTTCCCGTTATTTATATTTAGCACAAATGAATTTAGCTAGGAAATGTTGTTTTAGATAATATTTGTAATGGAATCAAAATAATGTGGGATTATATTGTAAAGGTTGTTTGTAAAATAGTTTAGAGCAATTGTTCGTTATATTTGTGCATAAATATAGTTTTTTAACCCATATTTATGCATAAATATACTTTTTTTCAATAATAGTTAAAGGCATGCGTAGGTGAATTATCCTGTAAAAGTTATTAATAAAAATGAAGTAACACACAATGTTTAAAACACTAGCTTTCATACATGGCTTGTAATTTGTTCTTCAATTCAATAGTAATATGCATTATGCTAATAGTAATTTAATCAAAAGTAGCTAAGAATTTTTTTAATAGTTTAAAAGCAATTACAAATTGTTATTGTTTCTCTAAACTGTCATATGTATCGTATTTAAAATTACATCAGAATAGTAAATAACGAATACTACAGTGGCTTAATTTCAAGTGATTTTAAGTTAACATAAATTTGTTATAAATGAGTGCATATTCCTAGCGTATTTAAACATAACAAATGTATTTATTTTGTGGATACTTTAAGTATGTGGTGCATTTCAAACACTCAAACTCGAATATTATCCTAACTAGTTTGTTCAACAACAAACCACCTTTGATATAAATACTTTATAATCCAACATCGTGGCTCCTACTCAGGTCTGATCTGTATCTGCATTAAACCTGTGTTCAATCTAGTATAATATACCCCCGCCGCAGCAAACCTGACGCCTAAGCGAATTTCCATTTGGCTGAATTGATTTTCAATTGATCTATTTAAATAACATTAGGTTTAACGAGTACCTAGGTTTGCTGCTACAAGGAAACTAATAAAGTGTGTGTTTTAAGTAAAATAATTATTGCTTAGTATAAAATGAATATATTTGCCAAGTTTGATCAAAAGATATCCATAAACAAGCAAACTACAACATTTTACAATATTCTCCATAAGAATAACATGGGAATTTTAAATTTACCATTTTTTTAGTTTTCTCCGTAACCAATAACCGTACAAAAACACTTTGATATACTGAATTGTTTGTTTTTTTAAGCTCTTTATGAAGGTTTAGAGAAAAATTGGGAAATTTTGTGTTTTGAGGGTCAAAAGTGAGAAAAACCAATTTTTACCCCATAAAACCCCCCATAAAACCCTGTTCCCATGGTCCGATCATGCTGGATCGCGAACTCATTCAAGTTTATCCCGCCTTACACCTTCAAACCAAATTTCATCAAAATCGGATAAAAATTACTCAAGTTATCGTGTTCACGGACACATATATATATATATATATATATATATATATATATATATATATATATATACATATATAAAAATTTGAACGAGTGGTGTTTTTGGCCTCTGGGGACATCAAAATGAAAAAGTAAATCGGTCCCGGGCCTAAGTCTTACCATGAGACCTACGGTAATAGCTACTTCCCTATAGGGAAATTCGCTAAAAAACCAACTTCGTTCCCTTATGTAATGCTATTTTAACTCTGCTAAATCTCAATGGCCCATTTATTTGTCATTTGGTACATAATAAACCTATGATGCAGGTTGCAAATTGGTTCCTATTTAATACGGAATAACTGTAACGGAGTGGACTGCTCAAACTCTTGTGGGTATAAATGGCTTATCACTGGGCGCCAGTAAAGACTTAACATTTACATCCCATTTTTGGCATCCATTACTGTAACGCTATACAGGGTGAGTTTTAATTGTCCCCCCCCCCAACTTTTTTCTACATTTTTTAAAATATCAATCCCAGACCACTTCCAAACATTGTTGGGTAGTAAGTACTTCATTTTGACAAGGTGGTCATTTCCGGCCGCCATCTTGGATCCGCCATATTGGATGCAAAATATTTTTTTCAAATGTAAAGGTGGAGTTGTGACCCATTATTTCGAACAAGATTTTTACCCGGATTACAATGCCGCAAACCGTTTTTAAAAATCTTGATTCGTTCTAAAGTTATGAGGCCTTTTTAAAACTTTATTTTTAGCCCATTTTAACATTGTGCATTTACAAACTAAGACCATAATCTCAAAATAGTGCTAGATAAAGATAAGTATACACTACCAGTTATTGTAAACCTATTTCCACTTATTTATGAGTGATATATTTTTTTCGGCCGCCATCTTGGAACCGCCATTTTGAAATGGGATAAATTATTTTAAATATGAAGGGTGTGTTGTGACCCATCATTTTGAACTACTTTTTAAAGCTAAACTCAATGCCACAATCCATTTTTTGTTATCAAGTTTTATTTATAAAACATTGCAATATTTTTGTTAAAAATGTTAATATTTCAAAATCAAAATATGAAAATGAAAAATGGACCATAGAATTGAGTTCAGCTTAAAAAAGTAATCCGAAATGATGGGTCACAACACCCCTTTTATATTTAAAATAATTTATCACATTTCAAAATGGCGGATCCAAGATGGCGGCCGAAAAAATACATCATTCATAACCAAGTAGAAATAGGTTGGCAATGACTGGTAGTGTATACTTATCTTTATGTAGCACTATTTTGAGATTATGGTCTTAGTTTGTACAAGCACAATGTTAAAATGGGCTAAAAATAAAGTTTAAAAAAGGCCTCATAACTTTAGAACGAATGAAGATTTTTAAAAACGGTTTGCGGCATTGTAATCAGGGTAAAAATCTAGTTCGAAATAATGGGTCACAACCTCACCTTTACATTTGAAAAAAATATTTTGCATCCAATATGGCGGATCCAAGATGGCAGCCGGAAATGACCACCTTGTCAAAATGAAGTACTTACTACCCAACAATGTTTGGAAGTGGTCTGGGATTGATATTTAAAAAAATGTAGAAAAAAGTTGGGGGGGGGACAATTAAAACTCACCCTGTATAGTCACAATGCAAGTACGCCCTTTATTCGGCCTAATGGAAGCCCTACACTTCCAATATCTGCAGATACCTAGAGTACCAGAGGCAAACCATGAAACATAACTTGTTGGTGGGCGCTTTGCGTTTTACCATAGACTAAAAGAATTAAATAGGTATTACTAGCTTGGCGCTGACCTTAGTGTTTACTTTTAATTGAAATCAAAGATTTAAGGTTTGATTTATAGAAGAAATTATCTGAGAAAACGCATTCCAAGCCAGAACTTAACTTTAATTGGTCAAGACAGTGTTTCTGCAAGTGTTGACATTCCGCTCTTTGTATTTAAACCATCGGCAGCATAAATATAACAAAAGGGCAAATGTGTTTCCAGTCACTTCTAAGCTTGCTTCCCTATTGTTAAATATTTAACTAAAGTAAATATTAAGCGTTTTACAACTCCTTTAAATGTACATAGACGATTAACAGCCCTTTCACGTAGTTAACATGACACCAAATAACACGAATCTCAGTATTTGCCTAAGAGCGGTAAAAACATAAGGTCATGAAGATTTAATAACAAACATTTTCCTACGAGTGTCACGTTTACTCACCAACAACATTGAGGGTGACCACGTGACTCAGCTTGGGCTCCATGCTGACTTGACACTCGTACTGTCCTCTGTCCCTCGCCTGGACGTACTTGATCTGCAATGTCCACGTGTCTGTCGCCTCCACCAGGAACGCTTGGAACCTCTCGTCGGCGATGAACGTGTAGCGGTCCACCGTCAGGATGTGGGAGTCCCTCTTCCTCACCCAGGAGACCTCCGACAGACACAGGCACAAGCGGTCATTTTGGTGTTAAGGATTGTAATATAATGTTACACACTCCCAACCTCCAACAGACACAGTTCCTTGTTGGTGTTAAGGATGATTGTGTAATATACTTCCCTATTGCTTTAAGCTGGATTACTAAAGTGCCTACGTGGATCAGCCAAAAAGAGTATAATTTTGTCACAATTTTGCCATCACAGGTGATTTCAGTTCAGTCTATTATAGTATGTTGAATACCTACTAATGAAGGTATTGAACAAGTAGCCTTCTAAGTTTTTTTTAACTTATAGTATATATTTAACATATTATAAGTGACGGTACAAATAAGGTACAATTATAGGAGGATTTAAACTGTCACCTCGCCTAAGTGAAACATAGGTGTTTCAATTATAATTTAATCCTTGTTGATGTAACGTAAGTCTATAACAGCTTTTCAAAAATGCCAAAACAAATGTTTGCTATAATTTTACACTTTCATTAAAGCTTATGATTTTTTTTACACTTTCGTTAATAATGATTACAAAGACATGATATGGTTTCAGGTTACATCTTTGAATTAGTGTTTTATTTGTTTTAGTGACCAACACACAGCATAAATGAGTTGTAAATTATCGAGGTAACTTACTGATTTGTTTCCCAGCTGTTTGATCTTGCACGGCAGGTATGCATGGGCCCCCAGTTGTGTTGTGATGTTATTGCTGGTAGAAGAGTCGAAGTAGGGACCCGTATAGAGGCCTGAGAACCTCTTGCTGTGTTTGTGTGACGAATTCCTACTGAGGGCTGCAACATAATGCTCAACAATGAAAGCCAATAGTACTAATAATCAATTGTTTAAATTTTCTCAAATTCTTACCTTCTAATGTGTTTAATACTTACAAAAAATTAAGTACAGTTTTCCTGGTAAATTCAAAATATGTTGGTACCTATATTTTAACAAGGATTTAACTCTATAACTTACCGTGTTAAAGGGTACTCAAAAAGCAATTTGCACCACAGTCAAGTAAGGAAATTTTAAAATGCGATATGTCTACAATGGTAGAGGTTTGGAAAATGAGTTATAGCAATTGAAAACAGTTAAAGTTGATCTAGTAAATGGTTAAGTAATTTAAAGAAAACTTTAATGTATTTGTATTGGCACTCGACTGTAAAATATAACTAAGGCAGATTAAAATGAAATATTGCTAACCACAAATTGTTATTGTGGCAACATCTTTCCACATAAATTACCGTTAAACATAAATTGTAATAATTGCAAAATGGATTTCATGTCGCGTGAACAATAAACCGCCTTATATTAAACACGGAAGCTGTTAAAAGTACCATATGGCAATAAAAGAGACCGCATGCCACCCCAGTCGGTGGTTCCGTTTAGCATTTAATTAAAGGAATATTAAATACAAAGAGTAACAAAGAGCATTGGAGATACTGGCAGTTGCTATTGAACGTATGCATGGGTTAACAAAGCTTCAACATATTAATTGTTTAAGGAGGTTTTCGCTAACAGATCCCTTTAATATCGGTGGCTTTACAAGGGTTTATTTCGTCCCGACTTTATCCTGTTTGCGAAATGTTCGCTATGTAGAATGGAATGGTTATTTTTCCAATTAGTATTGGCAGAATAAAATATATCATTTTATCTTCATTCCTGTTGAATTTTTTCAAATGATTCGTGAATCAATATCCCAATAATTATACGTAATTAAGATTTTTTACCGTCCTAAATCACATTTGAAAGAACAAAATTAAAATGCTGTACGCATAAAATGTTTAATTGTGTTAAACGTTTTGCACTTAGAATCATCTTAGTATCAAAGTAAATTAGAATTAACTACTAAACACATATTTTATTTATTATACAAAACATAGAGTCAATAACTTAATGAAATTAAAAGTTGGTCGTTGTTTAATTATTTCTTTATCAGATACACTGACAATAACGTCGTAAGTTTTTCCTCTTGTTTTCTGATAAGTATAACAAATAGTACTTACGTTTAGGGGTGAGTTCCATTGAGTGAACTGCAAAAGAAAATGCCAGTTAGTTAAATATAATACCTCAAAGGGTCAGCTTAAGTTTATTGCTGCACATAACCAGATGAGTGTTTAAGGTGGACATGGATTTTCTTACTCCATATGGATATCGTAGTATGACCTAAAAATTCAATCGACAATTAAAAATGAAACAGTACAGCAAGATAAACTTTATGTGAAAGTTATCGGAAAACACATCGCAAATTGCAACGCAGGTCTTGTTAATGGCTAATTTGAGTAAAGTGGCCATAGAGTTCGATAATCCGGCTGACAGGGTAGTGCACAATAATGGTAATGACCCTGGATATGACCCATCCATTACTGTCCATACGACATAATACAGTGCTATTACTGTCGCAAATACAACTGTTGCTCCACCCATGATTATCGCAGCGTATCTCAGTTCGTGAAACTTATACTGATATTCCGTTATTTAACATGGTCGAAATATGGGTACATAATACTATAATGGGTTAGTTTTATTTAAATATAACTTTCGGCTAAGCTTGTCTAAATTCAACAATTGAAATCCATACAGAGAGAATTGATGCTCGGGGTTTAGGCATTTTAGGTTGGAGTTTTGCATGCTGTTCATGTTTTACTAGGGCTACTGTTATTTATTCAATTTATTTTCCCACAGAAATTTGCCTGTTTTCTCAAATTTTCTTTTACACCTTCTTTAACAGTGTCAGTGTTTGTTATTGATGATCTATTTTGTATTAATTCATTATTAAGTTGGTTAGTTTCTGCTATGCATGTTACAATAATATCATCTGCAAACCTTTTGGCATGGATATTATGTTTTGTATTGGGTTTAATTGCATGTTTAAATGTAGCATGACAATACCTGTTGTACTGGATGTATTTGGTGGTCAATAAAGAGTCTGAATCTGGATCTAAGTAAAATATAATAATTTATTACGATGTATTGATATTATATAAAGATATAATTTTTAACAGTCATATATACCCTAGCTGGGTGCCTAAAATTGTGTAAACAACACGACTCTAGCGACAGCGACATAAGGGATCACAAACACGGTCTGTGAGTTCTTCCTTATCCACTCCTTCTTACCCACTTAGTAAATAATAAGTTTGGGAGAGTCCTCATTATACAGACTGTCCCAAAAGTCCCGGACCGGTTTAATATTTTCCAAACGACAACAGATAAATCAATAAGATTTGGTACATCAACATCACACCTAAAAATCTACTTTTTAAAGGAAATATCAATTTTCTGTCACATCATGGGGACGTCCCGCGAGGAGTCAGAAGGAAATCTTAAATAGAAGCATAGGTTGACATGTACATCAAATTAAAGGTCTTTACTAGCAGAATATAATGCCGCAAATTTGAACTCAAACGGACAACCGAGTCAAGAATGACAGTGGTTCAAAGATTCATTTAATTTGCATTGCTATTATACGCTTACTCCTCGGGGGGGCACAGCCCTAGGAATCGGAAAAAAATTGTTAACGTAAGCATAGGTCGATATGCACATCAAATTAAAGGTCTTCACTAGTAGATTACAATGCCGTAAATTCAAGCTCAAAAGAACGCCTGAGTAAAAAATGGCAGTCGTTCAAAGATTCAAAATGGCGGATTCAAGAAATCTTTGAACGGCTGTCATTTTTTATTCAGTTATCCGTTTGAGTTCAAATTTGCGGCATTATATTCTGCTAGTAAAGGTCTTTAATTTGATGTGCATATCAACCTATGCTTCTATTTAAGATTTCCTTCTGACTCCTTGCGGGACGTCCCCATGGTATGACAGAAAATTTATAGTTCCTTAAAAAAGTAGATTTTTAGGTGTAGTGTTGATGTACAAAATCTTATTGATTTATCTGTTGTAGTTTAGAAAATATTAAACCGGTCCGGGACTTTTGGGACAGTCTGTATATATATATCTCAATCTAAATTTACATGGAAATTCTGTGAAAAAATTCAACGCATTAATGGTCTTAATATTGTAAAATAAATCTACTCTAACAACAAATTTGTGACAGTAGTGATCTTTACCTAGACCACGCTTCTTGGATGGACATACGCTTGCACACACTTGCCAACATAAGCAGTGTTAAAATACTTTCAGAAATTCATCACATATGAAGAATCATCTATACTGTTGTTATTGGTTTGTTCTTTTGGGTGTGTGTTCAGTAAAACCTTCAGTAATGGTTCAGTAAACATTGTGTTTATATATTTTTCAATAAACATTTTGATCCAATTTAAAGTAAATATTGTAACTTATTTATCTGAAAATTCAAATACGTATTATTAATAAAACTATTTTAATGCCAGCCTTTCAAAGTAATTTCAGTTATAGCATTTTTTTATAATTTATATTGTTTGCTTGCTTTAGCGTAGAGTCTATTAGGTCATGATAGTATAGATGCAACGATAAAATCAGGGAAGGACTTGTTCTAAATTGGTGAGCGCTGACCGTATTTACAAACGACTATGGCTGCCCTGCAGTGTGATTACGGTAAACGAAGCTGAAGAAAAAGGAACAGCTACAACAGTTGTAAACATGTTCTTGTTTTTTGTTACCTTGTAGTTTCTTAACGATGTTGTTTATACGTTATCGTAGCTAAAGACTGCTCTACATAGAGAATATGTTACTTAAAATAAATATCCTTTTACGTAACGTTTCATAATATTTTATATCGTAACCAACACAAAAGGTATATTTATTAAAACAGTACGACTTGACATTAGTACATTTTTTGTATTTTTTTGTATATATTTCAATCAAACAACATATTTATTATACTGCATTTGGAGTGCTGCATAAGTTGCTGTCGGTGAAATATGATCCATCTTTTAAGGTGGGGGTGATTTTTGATCATTTGAAAACGCACAAGGTCTAGAGTTTGACTTCTTTCCTGGAAGGCAATAACCACCATCTTGATTGCTTGTAGATTGGCCAATAAATACATAAACTGCAAATTACAAGGAAATTGTATTTTCTTTTAATTACACTCTTAGCCATCAATCGGATGCTTTTTGGATACCGGGAATTAAAATGGAAATCGTTTGTTGTTCATATTGCTAAGCCAAGTCTAATAAGAATATTAGGGATTGCATCGAATTCGCTTCAATGCAAAATGGGCTGGAGATTAAATTGCTTAAGGAGAAGCTTTGTAAAATGTACATCGTTATTACTTCATCTATGGTTGTAGGTATTTCAAACACCCTAATGATTCAGTATATTTCATTGACGTCCCTTAATCGGTTTAAAGATGTTTATTTGAATAAAAAATGTAGCTTAATTAAGTTAAGTTTAGAAATCTTGCTCCATATTATAGTTAAATGTTATTCTCATCACTTCAACAATATATTGTATTTTAAATATAAACTAAATAGGTTATTACAATTTGCAACAATGCACAACTTATTAACTATAATTATTTACCGATAGACATTTTGAACTATTCTTTGTTTAATAAATACTGCAATGGTGGTGATAACATAAAATTCTGACATATACCGTATTTACATAAATACATTTACATAAATACATACCGTATTTACAAATACGTATTTACATAAATACGCAAAAACCATTTTAACACGCATTACTTAAAAGTTATTTTAAAACTTACTGACTATTATAATGTGGTTAAAACTATATTCATATGCTAGTTTAACTATAAATATTGTTAAAAGAACAATGACATAACGATAATAATAATACATTTATTTTTAAAACCTACAACAAAAATACCAACGCTATATAATCAATGTTTTACAATTATAACTTGTGATGTACCGGTTTGTTCGATAGAAATATATTACAATTAACTTTACCCTTAAAGGGGTTTGTGAAAAAAAATAATATAGAACAATATTCTTTTTATTTGTTAACACTATACTGTAAATAAAATAAAATAAATTATCGGTTCAAATTTAAAAACTCGGTTCGGCTCTAAACAAGATTCTCTTTTAACATTGTAGACAAACTGTTTTTATTTTCTTACTCATATTTGAAATAAAAGTTGTAATTAGGTCATTAGCTGATTAATATAACAGTGTGATTACACGAATTGCAATTGTTTATATCGTTGGTTTATAACACTGCTTTAGTTCGCCATATTTGCCAATCAGAACCAGTTTCATTTGCTTGCAGAATATCAAATAACTCTACGAGAAAAACAAAGGTAGAGAAAAGGTAGCTGGTGTAAAAGTAAGATACTTCAAATACTACGTAGTTTTTAGAATATACTTATAAGATACCTATAACATATTTCGGTGGTGTAAATTTTAACCTTATGATGAATACTCATAATTATATGAATATGATGATTTGCAGTGAATTAAGTTGATGAAACGTATTTTGTCAGTATTTTAACATGAAAGAGTTTTCATTTTAAAGATTAACAAACATTTTAAGGCCAATCTTGTTTCTATATATTTTAAAATTAATTGTAAGACCGTTATCTGTTATTAAAAGGTTACCTTCATTACGTTATTTCAGAATTAATGGCGTAAATATGTAAAAGTGTAAATACAAATTATCTATACTTAGCTGACGGTACTTATAAAATACTTAAGCGTTCGGAGTTGTTCTGTTTTCTCTAAATGATAAATGTAACCTATATTTTACGAAATCACTATTTCCTGTCACAGCTACGAGCTCTAAGTGGGTTATAACTTAACTAAGGCTGTGACTGTGATATTGAACTGTGCACAGTCGCGCCATGTGGCTGCGTCTAATGAAAACGTGCACGTAAATCATTTCCATCTTTACTTATTCCAATTAATGTATTCCTACACTAGATATACAAGGCGTTTATAAAAAACTGTACAACTTCAAACAACTATAAGACCTGTATTTTCCACTTAAAAAGCGATGAGATAATTCAAAGTATAAAAAATCATTTTAAGTTTAAGTGCATAATAAGGAGTTTACCTAGCTTCAATTATATTTTCGGAACGTTCACAAATGTTTGTTGAACATGCCTCACATCCTTATCGCTGACCATTCC